AAATTTTATGTCACGAAGCCTGAAACCGGCTGAATTAGACACGAGACGCGAAGCGTCGATAAAAACGAATTTTATATGATACGTGCGTGTAACCGCATGGGTTTCAGTTGACTATTTGTTTCCTCCCAGATGTCACTTGGAAAACAGCGCCAAAATTCGAATTGACGGATAAAGGAGGCAGGAACGTTTTACAGCTGAAGCCCGGATGGGCAATCCAACGAAGTCCAATTAATAATCCAAAGAATAATTGATGAATCCTCATTCGTGGAAAAATTGGGATAAGGAAATATTTGATATTGAATGAAAAACACTGAGTGCTTCGGGAGAGCACGTAAACTATTTATTTAACTATCAAAACTGTATTAACTTTCACTAGACATTGATTTATATTTTGGAGATCTGCACTCTAAAACCGGACTCGTCGAACTGACTTAACTTATTCAAAACGTCCCTTTCGTGGGTCCTATAACTCCCACTTTTTTCAGATTGCGCACGCATTCTCTCTCTTTCTTATGTTTTAGTGATATCTTAAATGCTAGACTCAAAAAGTGGTGGGGAGGGGCTGGGCAACGTTGTGACGCAGTCAACTGTTGCCAGCCACCCCCATCCACGTTCTAGAATTTGGGACGCACGTGTGACCGGCAGAAAATGACGTTCTTGGGTTTAATACAAAGGATACAAAGGGAGATCTGTTGGGATTAGTCATGGACCTTTCTCGAGAAGTTTACGTCTGAATTTTATGTGTTTATGGCGACGCCAGAAAATCAACAGGCCTGCAATATTTATATTAACTCGGTTTATTTCTTTCGTTTATTTAAACTGTTTATGTTATTTCTCGGATGAATAGAGCTCTGTATTTGAGAGTTGAAATGAGACGTCATTGTCCACCAAAAGAACACGTGCCCAAACTACGCAGTATTGAATTTAATGAAAGAATGGAAATTAAATTATTATCTAATTATTCTGATTAAGGTAATATTCAAATTGACCGCTAGGTGCATACAACGCCACCTAGTTATGAACGGCCAACGACGTAACACATCCACGGTAGTTGATTCCGAAATGCACCCATAGTCAACTGGAAAGTAGCGGGTTTCAAGCGCCTACCCATAGAGGATTGACTAAAGTAGAGGCTCAGATCTCGGGGTTAGACTGACCCCAAGCCAAAAGTAGTTCGACCCCAACGGAGGGATGCCGCCACGGTCGAATCTGACGGCTGAGCGAACTGCCTGTGCGGGTAACTCGGCAGTAGCAGTC